GGCAGTTTCATGGTTTTCAAAGTTAAATTAAAAAAAAAATTGAATTAAAAAACTTGAGTAAAAAACTTTGTTGTTGTAATTATGTATTTACCAACCCTGTATTTTCATCCATGCATCCATCTTTCCATCCATGCATCAGCCAACCTTCCACGCATCTATCCGGTCAACCCTTTCTCCATTGATCAATCCATCAGCTATCAATCCAGCCATCCGTCCGCTCAGCCTTCTAACCAGTCAGCCATCCATTCAGTCATTCAAGAACTTTTTACGTTCAAGATAAGAGCTGCCATTTTTCAGGGGCAGCTTTAGCTGAAGAGGGTCGCAGTTATATTTTTGATTGCCAGCTTCACTATTCTTCCACTTAAGTTTTTTCAACGTATTTTTTTGCATGTTTAATGAAAGAATTTTCGTCGCTTAAGCTAACTCGTTTATTGCCATCGTTAATTTTTTTTCTTTGTTTTCGCTTTGACTTCAGTGATTATTTCACCAAATATAAATTAATAACTCAATTGTTGGATGCTGTTAGGGTTCCCACATGGGTTGCGAATTTGGCTTCCACTTTTTGAACTTTTTTTAGTTTACGAGATGCGACAGTTCTTGTTTTTTTTTCGACGTTTTTAGAAACTTAAAGTTCAAGGTTTCACATAACTTGAAAATCCAATATCTGTAGTAGTGCGCTGTCAGAGCAGACTTAGAGGTTGCGAATCTTGTTTTTAATATGTACCTTAACTGTCTTTACTTTCTCAGACCTTGCTCCTGTGGATCGTTTAACCCATATCAAAAACTCATGCCAGCTGAAAACTGAGGGGTTCACACCCTTGAGCCATGAGCCCTAAAGTCTCTAATACTACTACTACTACTACTACTACTACTACTACTACTACTACTGAGTATTTGCTGTAAATCATTGACTGCATGTAGAACTCTCCCTGGGTCCCCCTCACAGTCCTTACAAGGTCATCTAACTTATTCCTAGAAAAAATGTTACCAAAAATTTGAAGCACAGTTTTAAATACACACGCTAATGTTTTAAATGCACTCAAAATTTAATAACAACCAAACTCATAAAGATATTCAGTTTTTCCTTTTATTGGGGTATCTATTTTAGTTAATGAGCAAAAATTTTGCAGATTCAGCAGAATCATTAAGAATAGCTTAGAATGGGGCTTACAAAAAAAATTCATAAAAGATTTTTTGTAGCCAATAAGGTCGGTCAGTTTTATCAAATCTACATCAGCGACCAAAATATTGAGGGCGCAAATAAATAAATTTTTTCATTTAATAAATCGTTCTTACCTAAGAGCAGAGTATCAGTGGTTTTTGGTACCCAGCCACATCAGATCGTTTCGTGAGTTCTTCTATATTTATGTCTACGCATACCAGTTTACCGTGGTGGTTGGGTTTTTCTGTAGCCAACGGCAAGGAAAAACGGAGCATCGACTACCAATAACAAATGGAACTGAATATTGGAAAAAGCAAAGTGCTATGTATAAAAGGAGAAACAGAAACTGACAGAACGACTGATACCAAACTTGGTACTGTAAACTCCCAGAAGGATCTAGGCGTGATAATGGCGAAAAGCCTCTCGTGGAGCATTCCAGTATCTCCGAGGAACAGCACCACGAGGCAGAGCAGCGATTTCGAACTCAGCAAAATCGCCTTCACAAAACAGATGAAAATTTTTGGATGAGAGCCCCTAAACTATTCAACATACTCCACAATCAATTCCGCGACAACCCGCCAAAGAAGCAACTGACAGAACGTTTTTTCAATTACTTCAAAAACAGCTACAATCAACTAGACACTTGCACTTGGCGTGTACTGTGCTCCTGTGGATCGTGCAACCCATATCAAAAACTCATGCCAGCTGAAAACTGAGGGGTTCACACCCTTGAGCCATGAGCCCTAAAGTCTCTACTACTACTACTACTACTGAATATTTGCTGCAAATCATTGGCTGCATGTAGAACTCTCCCTGGGTCGCCCTCACAGTCCTTACAAGGTCATCTAACTTATTCCTAGAAAAAATGTATTTATAACTACCTTAACTGTCGGAGAAAAACGATTAAATTTTTTTTGTCAATGTTAATTTTAAATTCCAAACGGGTTCTTCCGTTTAGTTACAAGCTGGATAGGGCAGTACCAGCTTTATAAAATTGCATATATCAGCAAACTGTATCATAGTATCAATGAAGTCATAAATCAGAATTAAATGCATCGTCCTAATGTTAATTTATCTTAACCGTCCTTCCTCTACAATAGCGCTTATAGAGTTGACAATAAATTGAATTTTGCGCAGCTATCTGCACCCCCTTATACATAGTATAGAGCTCCTGAGTATCAATTTTAATTAAATTTGAAAAAATATAAAGCATAGCTTAAACTTGCGCAAGCAAGGCAGGTCAGTTGGGTTGAACCAAAAGTTAAGATATTGACCGAGTGGCTTTATTTTTTTCAGTTATATGAACTAATTGCTGTATTTGCTCGTGTTTATTGTAATGCGTGACCACCTTCTCACAATTGGTTTATACCAGGCCATCTCTTTCACAAATGTACTACAGCTATTAATCGTTTTGTTTCATATTCAGGTAGCGATGATTTTAAAGGTCTTAATATTTCTCGGCTTTGCATCGTTGCTTCATTGTGCCTATTCAGCTGCACAATACCGATCTTACCTGAGAGCAGAGTATCATTCTTCCAATTTAGCAAATGTTAATCCGTTGCCTCCGATTGATACTGTTCTGCAAACCCTTCTAAGCTTCATAATTACACTCTACTGTGTTACTCAAATTGGAGCCGCTGGGTTCAAAGAAATAAGGGCCACAGCACAGTTCGAATCCAAAGGAATGGATTTCATTGCGAATCGGCCCAGTTTTCATACTTTTTGTCACAGGGGACAGACCTGGCTCAGACGAATTTAGCCAAGAACAGGTGGATCGAAACTTTCACTAGTAATTGAACTATTTACTTATTTTGAAAATTTCTAGCCCTTGTTTGCGTATTTGCTACATTGAATTATATTTTGTTGTCCTTTATTTAATACGTTTCCTTTTCAAATCATTTTTGTGGCAATGTAAATTGAAAAGTTTTTTTTTGTTCCGACCACTGAAAAAGGGTAGGAACTTTGTCTTCGGGCGTGATAATCTTTTCGTTTTCCAAGCTAAATCAGGTACCACAAGTAATAGTCGGAATGGGTCGAGTGATAAATCTTAAAGCCCTTTCAGTCGTTATTCGAGCAACATAAAAATATCAAAAATTTTTGTGTCGAGAAAAACCGTTTTGAAATTTTTGATTCTTAATCTAATTTCGAGCGAATAAAGCGAGCGATCAGGCTTATACTACTATGCTAATATTCAAGTTAAAAAGTGAAACTTAGTTAATTTAGTTTTCGAAATTAGTTAAGCACCTTATGAATATAGTTATAAAAATTAGTTTTAATCTTTTAAATTGTTTTGAATTAACCGTACAACTCTCCCCCTTTCAGACCTATCGTAAAGTTTCTCCCCTAGCCACGTCTTGATTTTGAAAATTGATTTCGTATAAAATATGCATTTAATATGATGGTTATTTTTTTTCGGCTAAGTTTCGCTTTGTTTTTCGATTTTGACGATGAGCTAGTTTGAAAGACGACTTGGAAGTTCTGTGCTTGCGGACAGACATTTGAATTTTTTGATGCTTTTTGTTCCGACCACTGAAAGTATGGAGGAATTTGTCTTCGTTTTTTTTTTGTTTTCTACGCAAGATAAGGTACCACAAAAACTTATGGGAATGGGTTGAGTGATCTGTTCTTTTGCGAGAGCAAGTGTTTTGTTATCGGGAACAAGACTTTTTCCTTTAACCTTTTTTCTTATATTCTTCCCTTATTTAATCGCTTGTTTTCTTTTAACACCTCTCAGTAACGCCTTCGGCGGCAACGCCGTTGCCTTTGCACCTTAAAATCTAAAATTCAAGTCTCAGCCGAACTTTTTTTTCTCAGTATGCATGCAATTGAAAAAAGATGCTTTCTGTTAACAATTGAATTGTCGGACTTTTGTTTGTCTGCTCAAGTTGTGTCGGCTAAGTTGCCATATCATGGATTTTGCTTGTGCTACAAGCAACTTTCATTGCAAGTGCTTGTCCTGTTCATTTGCCTTTACTTTTTAATCGTTTTTGCTAGCAGTTCTCTTCTATAGGTGGGAATGAATTATGGCGTGGGGTCTTTTTTGCAGCCGATTTTGACTTCCTCAAATATTTTGAACTCAAGCCATCCAAATCTTTTTATCAAAAAATAGTAAAACTCAGAATAACTTTATATAAACCGCGTCTTCCTTCAAAAGCGGAAAATTAAATAAAGAAAAGACGACACGTTTGTTTTCAAGGTCAGATAAATTGGAAAACGCTTTATATACAATTTAATAATGATAGCAATTGTGGATTTCGCGATTCGCAAAGGATCTATGAAAGGCTATCCAGCCTTTCTAAGAATAGTTCTTCTCACCTTTCTAAGGATATATTTCTTGAGCGAAGCTCTTTTTTTGCGACTGATGAGCGTTTTTATGACGCGTCTAGACTTTTCACATGGAACCTCTAATGTAGCCGAAATCGGTCAGGCTGTTGTAGACCTGAAACTAGGAGTCAAATAAGAGCTCGTCCTTTTACTTTACCATTGCCATGACAAGGGTTCGATTACTTTATCTGAGGATTGCAGAGTGAATGCCTTACCACTATACTAAGTGCCTAATTGCTAAGTGCCACAATTTGAGATATAACGTAGATATATTTTCAGGTGGAATGAATACTGTGCTTCGCCAAATCTCAAAAGCTACTACCTCGAGTAACAAAGATCTTGTGTCTCTGTATAAAAAATTGTACCGTCGCGGTGATTCTCTGAAGTTCACAGATAAAACTTTTTACAGAAAGTTTGTACGACGACAATTTGAAGCCAAGTTATTTACTGAAGATTCAGATTTTGCTTTCAAAAAAGCACATGTTTTCTTCGAAGAGAAAGTTGGAAAGTTTATTTAGTATCGAAAACTTTTCCTGTCGTTTTGATTTCGAGATTTTGAGTTTAGCAGTTATTGATCATTTGCTGCCCGGAAATTTACAGGAAAAAATATCGGACGACGGGGACGATGGTAAAAATCATAATATAAAACTGACTTGGACACAATTCAATCAAAATTGGACACGAATCAATCAAAATCACCCACCGTTTTGGTCGAAAATTTGCCGAGAATCAGTGAATAGCTCGATGGACTTCTATAAATTGGTAATTCAATAATATTTTGCTCAAGATTGGTAATTCAAGATCTTATTTTTTAGTGTGCAGATTTTTTTTCCAGTGACACAAAATTATTGTTGAGCCAAAAGAATAATTCAGTTGAGTCTTATGAATTTGGTAGCAATAAAGAGTTTCGAATGTATCATATTTTTCCTTAGGAAGTGGTTTCCATTATTCACTGCCAGAGCTTATGTGTTTCTACCACCTCGGGTCTGGAGGAACTTCGAAATAAGGTGTTTCTCTTTAAATTCAGGTTGCACAAATGAACGTCAGATAAGTCGTCACATGTCATGAACTGGGCGTGACATATCGTAATAACGCCCTTCAGTCATGATTCAAGCTGTAACAATTTGGAAAAAAACGGTCTGAAAATTTTGGCGCCAATTTAGAACGAAAAGTTGTTGCCAGCCGCGTTTAATGTAAGAGGCTTTTTTACAGGCTACTTAAGGTGTTCATCACAAAGCTTAAGCTCCTTAAGTCCTCCTCCCACACACACTTCATTTTGCAAAAAAAGACGACACAATATTAACAAAAAACGAATTAACCGGTAGTTTTTTCGTTTTCTTTCAGCTAAGATGATTGTGGTAAAAACTTTTTGTTTGTTTTTAGTTGTAACATGCGATTCTACGCCAAAACTACGGATCCTATCTCTGTTCAGATGCTGTCTAAGATCAGTGCCATTCTGTGCAAGTCATGTTCGAAAAGAATCCTACTGAAAGTGGACCCCAAGTCTCTCTCTTTCATCCTCAATGATCGCATGCTCCTCGGAGGACTCGCGATGTACTCGAAGATCAGAGCAAACAGTATTTTTGACGAGTATGCCGTACAAAGTAATGCATTATTTTGTTAGCTATATATACGGATATATGAGCGGCAGTAATTTAGTAGAAGCGCCAAGAAATCTTGTTATCAGGCTTTTTCTGGTGCTTTTTCTAGGTTACGGCACCAAATTTGTTTAGATAACAAGCTGTTCACCCTTCTGAACGCAACAAATTCGCTGATACCCGTTGCCCTGATATTGACGCGGCTTCTATTATGTTATGTTGCTTAGTTTATTGGTCATCCGTTTCTCGAGTTCTTTTACAACTAGTGCATTTTATTTTAGATGAAGAGACCCAAAATGTGATCGCGTTTGATTTTCCAATCGAGTTGTTTTCCAAATGTCTTCGAAATGGAAATTTCCAATCAGTGATCCACTCATTCAAAATGAAACTGGCCAAACGCGAAGACGGACACCCATGTATTAGAGTAGTAATTGACTCTCCAGGAGCTATCAATGGGCCCGATCGAATTATAAGTCACGAACTACCTGTCAATGTTTACAATAATAGTTTGATCTTGGCCGATGACGCAATAGTAGCTTGTCCTCATGAACCGAAGTGTGACGTTACGATCCTAGTCTCCTCGTTGCGAATTTTGAAAAACGTCATCGAAAGAATTCGTAATGTTGGACATGTGGTGACTTTAACATACAATCGATCAAATGGCTCTTTTCATTGTTCTATGAGCAACGATTTGGTATCTATCAAAACTCAGTTCGAAAAAGTCGAGTTGAAAAGTGATGAAAATATCACAGCAGGAGTATCGAGGGAGGTAAACAGAGAAGTTTCGGTGCCGATTGACGCGAATAAACTGCTTCGAGTTCTGTCTTCGCATGTTTTGAATCCAGCTAAAGTTCACTTGGGCCTGAAGCATGACACTTACGTCGTTTTGTCCGTCCAAATTGACGCTATTATGATGCAATACGTGCTGCCTTGTTTCTCTGTGTAATCTTGGAAAAGTTTTGATTCTATTTGATTGATTCGATGTCAATTGTATTTTGAAGTTTCGAAAGAAAACGTGTGTTCCTTCATCAAATTAAAGTATTGTTAGAAATCAAAAAACAAATAATTTGTCTAAATTTTTGCTTTTAATTGAAGAAAAGTTTGTGTGATATTGCGGAGCAAATTTATGTGACTCGAAATATCAAAGCTGGGTGATTTGCAGATGATAAATATAATAGACAGTTTTAAAATATATTCTGTTTTTTGTTTATGAGTTTGGTCGGAACATTCTGTGCTGCTTGCGCAGCCACCGGCTATCCTTGGTTACCCTTGGGATAAGCAGGGGTATTGCAATCCGGTACTAGACTTTACCGTAAATAACTTCGTCCACAAGATCTCCACTTCTAGAGGATCTTTCATCTTCTGACATGCTCAATTTCTTGAAATTTTGAATAAAAGTACTATCACATAAGTAATAATTAGTTCAAGTCCGTTTCAGGTTGTAATTATCTTCTAAAAAAAATTTCATTTTTTCAGCTTCGTATTTTCCGTCCAAGTTTTTGTCAGTTCATTTTCCGTTTTTTCAAACGCCATATATGTTTTATCTTGTAGGGTTTTATTGGTTTAGTTTTTAAGGCATGTGTTTTGTTCCAGTTTGAACAGTTTTTAATATAACTGAAAATTCAAAAATTTCTAAATTTACCATGTCTGAATTTGAGTTTTTGTTTCACTTTATTTCGTTTTTCTCAAATATTCAAAGTTTCAGTTTACATTACATCGACTTGTTTTGCTTAATTTTGAGGGCAAATATTTGCTTTTGGGATTATGTGTTTCAATTTGAAATTGTCGTAAAAACTTTTAAGTTTTCTGAATTTTTTTATGACAATTGTTTTGTTTCCATTTTTAAGGGCTGTTTATGAACGTTTTAAACATCTATTTTACAAGTTTCTAGTTGATGAGCGATAAAAAAAATGCCGGAAAAATTTAAAGGAAATGTAAAGACAGAAAAATAATTTTGTGATGACGGTGATGCTATTTGATCAATGACACTCGAAATTTGATTTTGAAAAATATCAGATTGTCATTAGATTTTGTCACTCTGAGCCTACTAAACTCTGTTGTTGTTAGCACCGAGGGGGAGCGTCCGGCATGCTCAAACAATTTCAGAAAATTCGCAGCTTCGGTCGGCCGAAGCCACAAGCCCAAGGGAGTCAAGGTAGTGGTGTTCTTGAAAAAGTTGAAAACGTGTAAAGTGGTGTATTGGGAAGTACAGCAGGGAATCTTCAGAGGGGACACATCAGGGGGTTTGAGAGAAAGTATTCTCGGGGTAGGTGCATTTGCAATTGCCTGCTCGACGCTTTTATTTCGACGTTGTTTTAATAGCGAATTGTAGGTTTGACGGGCGGATGTTTTGAGTCGGCTTGAGGTGATGGCGATAAAAATTAAACTGTTTGAGGCGATCCAAGATTAGAGGGTAAACTGAGCGGAAATTAGTTTATGATCGTGGGCAAAATTTATAGTTTTACACTCAGAGTGTAAGTGTACTGGAGCACTCACTTTTGTACAACCTGTTGTAGTGCGGAAAGCGGTGTTTTGAACTACTTGAACTGCTCAAAGACTTAAAACTGGCGGCATGTGACCTTGCTGGGCATGCGTTATCTAAATTTGGTCTGACCAAAGCCTTGTAGGTAACACGCTGTGTATTTTTTGACTGACCCCAATTTGTATCAGATAAGGCCTCAGATTCGCTATCATGCGCGAGGCTTTTAGTGAAGTTCACTTAAAGTGCTCTGCGAAGTTCAAGGATGGGGCAATGAGGACACCGAGTTTTTTAGGGTGCTTCTCCGTGGAAATGGCTTACCGTCCAGTCCTACTGTTGGGTCCGTGTTGAAATCCTTGCTCAACAAGAACAAAAGAGAGAAGGCTGGCGGAGCCTTTCGATGAGGAAAAAACAAGAGGTGTAACTTGGGTAAATCATTGTAACTTCGCTAAGTAGTTTGATAAGGTAGAAGAGGCTTTTTGAAAGTTGTTTCACGGACAAAGGGGCGAAATTTGTCTACGTATGATTGTAGTAAAACTTCAAGGGGGCGATAATGGCGCATCATGATAGTGAAAAGTAGATGAAGTTGGCGATAGGACTGAGCCTTGTGAGAAACCTGCACGTACAATCCTAGATGATGAAAGAGCATCCCTATAAAAGTGTTCTCGCTCGGCAACCACTCATGTAAATGATGGAGATCCAAAAGAGTTCGATGGCAGACCATGTGGAAAGCTTTCGATAAGTCTAGCGTGGCCAAAACTGTTCCTTTTGGTGGTCTTTGTTGTCGTATTCCATCACTGGTAAAAAAAAGTTTTTTACGGATGATGCCGTAGTGGTTGACTGCGTTGGGCCAAAGTCATGTTGATGGTCGGCTTTTGGTAGGTGTTTGGTTAGGGATGGGTTGATTTGGGATTTTTGAACTTTAACATTTGGGCTGTAAATTGTGATCGGGCGGTAGGATTCGGGCGGCCAAATATGGAAGATTTCAAAAGTGGTACTCCTCCCGAAACCTAATAAAGACTTTAAATTGTCAGATTTTACCACCCGGTCACAATTTTAAGCCCAGCTAATCTCTGTTAAAAGCTAATTGCTACCGGGCCAGTATGTTCAAGTTGAACTGTGGAGATACCGTCTGGGCCTAAGGCTTTTGACGGTTTCATCAATTTAAAACAGTTATTCACTTCGAGTGGTATATAGCTTAAAGAGTCAGTTCATCTAAGTTTGAGAGCTTTTCTGTGTTACTTTTTGAGCCTTGTTGCTTTTATGTTTTCTTAGCATGGTGTATTGAAAAATCGTTTGCTATGTCTTTGACCTTTAAAAGTTTTCTGTCATTAAACGGATAGGTTGGGTTCCTATCACAGATTTAGAACCATTAAACAATCGAACCCCTAATAAACTCTCTCGTTAAACGTTCTGTTGGATATATTTTTTTTGTAATGATAATTGCAGCAATCGCTATTACACATTAACATGCGACTCTTTGTTCTCATAATTCGCTCGTTGTTTTGAGCTTACAGCAGTTTCAGCTTTCGGCGAGATGCAGAAAATTAGTTAATCTTAAACTTATAATTGAAATAAAACCGGGCTCGAGTTAGAAGCGTTTTAATAACATGTTTATTTTTTGTTCCGACCATTTCACTTAGTCTATGGAAGACACAATGGGACAGGTTGTAATTTTTTTTCCAGCCGTTTTTACGCTCTGAAAAAAGGCTTGTTGGGGTAAAGTGTGGTATTATACTAAAACCTTTCGATTCGTATTCTAACAAATCTCAGTGTCGAGAAAAACTGGTCTACATTTTTCCGGGATTTGAGACCTAATTAGACAACCTGCTCAACGGCTGACCTTCAAATTTTGTTCTATAACAGTTTAAAAGTTGTTGCAGCTTTAAAGTCTCCTATCAATCTTCTTAACAATTACTCTACCTTTCTCTTTCAAGAAAGGGAAGGGGACTAATTGATTTGTTGATTTAACTAAGTTGAATTTTCGACCAATCAGAATGCAGCAAAGTTTGAATTATAAATAGAACGCTCTTCTTGTAAATTACTGATTTTATTTATTGGGCTGGCCATTCTGGGTGCCGGACATAAAGCCGACGGGACTTGAAGCCGAATTGTAAAATTAGGGACTTGGAGCCGAATTTTTTTTCATTAAGTCATGAAATATGATTAATTTGATTAATCTTTCTCCAGTTATTATTGGCGTTTTCAAAAAATTTAAGCATCCGAATGATGTTAAGGAAAGTTGAAAAATAAATCATGACTGAAGGCGATTTTCTTGTTTATAAGCTATGCATTTCAAAAACCGGCTGATATTATTAACGGATGCCAATCCCAAGTGATTCATTGTCATGAATAAAGCTTATTATGGACTAAACTTGCCTACAATTTTGAAAAGCAACGTTTTACATATAAAAAAGTAGTGGCTTGAGGTGCTTGTAAAGTTTATATTTCGGCCTGAAGTCCCTTCGGCTTGAAGTCCCGTCGGCTTGTTGTCCTAGACCCGCCATTCTTTGGTAAATACCATATGAAGGATTGTTAAGTAGATCCAAAATCAACATTTCAATTTGTTTTGGTTTTTATTTTGTTTTGTTTTTCGTAAACAAATTTTGTCGGAACATTCGAAGCGACTTGCAGGGTGGCCAGTCAATAAGCAGAATGGTCTAAGAGCAGAATGGGTCCAAGAGCAGAAAATAGAAAAATATCAATTTCTATAAGCTAATCGGTAAATTAATTATCAGAAACGTAAATAATAGCAAAGGAACGAACATTTCATGCATAATTTGAGCAATTTAATCAAGAATTTAAAAAAAAAATTTAATCAAATAAACTAAATGAAATTAGTCAATTCATGCATAATTTATTCGTTTTCTTGGTTCTTTTTGACGATTCTATTAATTGTTTTATCAATTAGCCCGTATAAACCAATATAAGTCAATATTTTTCTGTTTTTCTGCTCTTGGACCCATTCTCCACTTGGACCATCTGCTTATTGCTCCGCCTCCGACTTGCACATCAACGGTCGATATTTTTTATTTATAGCGCTTATCTTAGCAATTTTTGAGTACAAATTGTATGTTGAGTGTAATATTGATAATGAAAAGCTTTTCTTTTCTATAATTAGCAGTTTTGAATTGTGATTATATATAACGGTGCGTATTCATAGGTTCCAAAATGAAAAATCAGTCCCATAGGTTCCAAAATAAAATAGCAGTCGCATAAGTTCGAAATCTTTTCAATTGGTCAAAAGAATAAATTAGCCGATTCTCGGTTTAAGGTCGCCGGTGGGCGCGCGTCGCCGCTTAGCGGCGATAACCGGCTCTAAATTTCGTATAGAGTCCTACCCTTTGGTGGCAAGCTCGCAACACGTTGGCGCGGCTGCGGCGGTCACTATTCTGCAGCTTGAGTTTATGCTGGTTGAACAGTAAACAATCAATCCATAAATTCGTTGTCTCAAATTTCAATCAGAATTCAAGAAGATTTTTTTTGCGAACTTATGCGACTGATATTTTATTTTGGAACCTATGAATATTGGAACTTATGGGAATTCACCATATGTAACAGCATTGACGATACCATGCTGCTGAGTTCGGTTTTATTACGTCCAAATTACCAAACTGTTCGCTACCAAAACTGACCATTGTTTTTTGCAGTACTTTGCACGACTTTCAAGTTTTCTTCCAATTTTAGATTGACTTGATTAATTCGTGATATGATCCTTGCCCCTTTTGTTGCCCTAAATCTAGAAGTCAAATTTCTATTTTTGATATTCCTCGAAGTAGTACAGTCGAACTCGGCTGTAATCGTTTTGAACGACTGCTATTTGACTGGTGGTTTCGAATTAAGTAGTGAGCCTGTCGTCATCTAATCTGACCTGACCCGGCACCTTGCCTTTTTCTTCAAAATGAGCACTGCTCCGTCCGACGTACGAAATTCTGGGGAGGAATGGCGTACTCCATGTGGTGTTCCTACTCTGTCTAATTCACAGAAAAGGATTTCTACAAGTAAGTTCACATGTTTACAGAGTTTAATCCCGCCTGCGAAAGCTCGAGTCCGTTGGTGTAATATCACAATCAGTTGAAAAAATCTAAATTGCAGAGTTTATTTTACAGGTCTTCCGGACATGTCTGTTTGCACTGCAGCAACAGACATAGTCTACTCGTCACAGCCAGTCTTGCAGAGGACCGATGCTAGGCCTAGCTTCGACAAAGAAATAGGAAAACTTATCGAAAATCGGGCTTACACAGGTGCAGAGTTTAATTTAAATTTGTTTGTTACACCTCAAATCTGACATTTGTGTCGTTATAAGGCGTAAACGGAAGTGGATATCAAGAGACATCAGTAATGAATACGCCAACCAACCTCACTCGAGATAACAGCCGAGAAGGTAAAAGTTACAAGCCTTATTTGTGTTCATCACGTCTGAAAACTAAATTCTCATTCTTGATTCAATTTAAATTTCAAAATTGAATTCAATTTCAATATTAGTTCGACTGTTTTTTTTCACAGGTTTCGTAATCGATGAGTTGTGCGTGATGAAAAACTGCGACCCCTTCTTTGACCAAATCACATCTCATGTGATTCAGATTGAGGTGGTGTGGATTGACCCGGATGGACCTATACAGGAGCAAGGAACAATGAACAGTTCGCCCTCCAGTAATGATTATTTGGCCGGAAAACAGGAACAGGGAGAACTTCAGCAGAATCCAAATCAAAGCTCCACGGCTGATGAGCGTCTCCCGCGAGATGAAGACGCCAACCAAGTTGTCGAAGACGCCGTGCCACATAGACGCGAAGTCGTTGACTTGAACAGTTGGTGAAGAGCTACGCTAAGGATTTTCGTACAATCTGCCCCCCCCCCCCCCTAACTGATCTGTAGAATGCCCTCTCCAAGCATGTATTAATTCTGTAAAATAATTCTGTATAAAATATGCATTTCATACAAACGCGCGAATAAAAATTGGTTTTCACATTTTTTATTCGAGATTTCATTTGTATGCAGTTAATTACTAATTTGATGTTTTAATTCAGTTTTCTGTAGTAATACGGTTAAGTCTGAACGAATCCATATTTTCTCCCCCTTAAATCGATTGGAGGAGGGGGTAATTGTACGGTTGATCCTTGGCTAAAAAAGAACAGCCTGAAAAAAGGTTATCTATTCTATCATATATCCATATCCCATATATCCAACTAACAGAAAGAAATGACTAATGATTGAATATATTATCTTGTATATAAAACTAAATTGAATTAAAAAAATTTTGACACTTGTAAAACAATATGTTAATACCGTATGAATAAGGCAGCTAGACACAAATCATAAAAATTTTATGTGAAGCGATATTCTTTACAATGAGTGTCTATATATCAGCTTAGATTTGATCAGATTGGTTGTCAAAGAGTGCAAAATTAGTGTACAAATGATGTTGTTAATGTTTTGAACAAGCGAAGCAATTTGCTACTAATATGTGACAACTTTGTCAATGCTTGCATCTTATGGCTCTATAAGATGAAACACAGTGGATCGATCTGCCTCTGGTCTTGTTATTTCTGCCAAGCTTAAGTCAGTTCCGCCTTTTGTTACTCCAACGACTCAAGAGTCGAGAACAATCGGTCTGAATATTTTTGGTACTCAGAAAATGTTGAGTTCAGATTACTAGCTTAATGATTGTCAAGAATTATGCCAGAGAAGAGCTATAGTTTTTGTTTTTCACTTACATTGTTCCTGAATTGAGGCATCCTATTTTGTCTATGCAGTGCTCTGCCACTTGCTAAATGTATTACTTTGTACTTAAAATAGCGTGTGAGGGGTACTTAAAATAGCGTGTGAGGGGAGGAAAAATATATCCAAACAATTCAAATTTTTTAAGCGAACACTACTTTATGCAGCTTAAAAGACAGTCGTAAAGTTCATGGCTTCGCCCTAATACGAGCAGTCTTGTTATATTTCGCAATAGCAATTGTGTTGAAACAGGCTCCTAGACTTTTTGCCATAAAGAAATTTGTCAGGGCTCATCTCCTGGTCTCTGCTCTGGAAAATACTGCAATATTGAGCATGTTAGCAGTTTAAATATATCCTATTTACACGAGCGTAGCGTAGTGTGATAGTACAATGCAACTTTTTTTTCTAACCTAACAACCAAAGTGGCAAATAAATGTGCTACTTTTGTTGACACTTTTCAAACCGTTGGCTGTATTAGCAGTATATTGCCAAGTGCTTTGACTTTTGATTAGTAATAAGCTAACACAGTTGATGCTTTTTCATTTTATCAATTGAACTGTAAACGGTATTTCTTAAAACAGTAATACTTTAAATAGCTTTGCAGAAAGTTTCCAACTAGATTTACTACGCGAGATTTTTGAAATTCATTATTTAATCGCAATCTATTATATATTTAAATTGCGGGCTTCACTATCTCGCCATATTTAAGCTTTCAACGTATTATTTTTGCATGCTCAACGAAAGAATTTTTTCATGCTTAAGCTATATCGTATATTGCAATGGTTAAAATTTTTTTTCGATATTCCTGTTTTTTCACCAAGTTTAAAATTAACAACCCATTAGTGAAATACTGTCAGGCTTCTCCAGGCGTTGCGGTTTTTTCCTCCAATTATGAATACCCAAATACACCCAGTTAATGAAATACGACGATTTTTAGGACTTTTTCAAAAAATTTCAGAAAAATAAACTTTAAAAAGTTCACAAAGTGTGATCATCTCAACCATGTAGTTGGGCGCTGTCAGAGTACTCTCAGAAATTGCGAATCTCGTCTCCAAATTTGACTGCTCTAAATCTTGCCTCCAATTTTCGAGGTATGACGTGTTTTATTATTTCTTTTAATTTTTCAGAAAACTTTTTAAAACTTCAAAAGTTCTTGAAGATTTTAAAACTTCAAAAGAATTGGATTTCTTTACCTTGTAGTTGGGTACTGTGAGGGTACTATCAGGAGTTCCAAATTGCAGATCTTGTCTTCAAATGCGACTGCCCAAATGTTCTTAGTTAACGAGATATGACGTTCTTATATGTTTTTCATTTTAAAATTGTTCAAAGAACTTAGCTATAAAAAATTAAACAAAGTTTGAAGTTTCCATTTTTATAGTGAGGCTCTGTCAGATTACTCCCAGGAATTGCGAATTTAGCCGCCAAACTTGACTGTTCAAATCTTTGTAGTTTTCGAGACAAGTTTTTTCTGATTTTTTCTAAAAATTTTTGAGAAAACTCAAATTTTAATTTTCAAATTTGAAATTCCAAACCTTTAGTTGGGGGGGGGGGGGGGGGGGGTATTGCTCCAAATTTGACTGCTCAAATCTTTTTAGTTTTCCAGGTGTGACCTTTTTTGTGATTTTTGTGATATTCAAAAAATTTTCAGAAAACTGAAGTTTATGTTTTTTTTTTAATTTTGAAATTTCGAACTCTGTAGTTTGAGTCTGTCCGAGAACTCACAGGAGGTTACAAATCTTGCGTCCAAATGCGACTGATCAATTGCTTTTAGTTTCCGAGATATGACGTTTTTAATTCATTATAAACTTAGCTATAAAAAATGTCGCAAAATTTTATGTTTTTTCAAAGTTTGGATTAAAAATATGATTAAAAAACTTTTAAATTTGAAATTACCAACCCTGTAATTGGTTGCTGTTAGAGGACAATCAAAGAATGCAAATGTTTTTTTTCCAATAAATGCGGTTTTTTTATGAGTTGTTGAAAATTCGAAGCACCGGAGGTGCGTTACGCGCTAGTTTGGTTTAATACATTCTAATTTATTACATGAAACGTTAGTGTGGTTGCCTATAGTTTTTTAAATTCCAAATTATTAAATGCAGAGTTTTGTATATTTTAAAACTCCTGAACTTTTGCGCTTTCTCGCACGTGGGACATAATTATTCATTCTTGTTTTTTTTCGACTTGAAGGTTTTCTAATCAGGCAATTTCGGCTTTCTAATCTCTTCATAATTTTTCTTCCGTTGCTAATTTCAGTTCTGTGAAATTAACTTTTTCAATTCAAGCTATTTTTATTTTTTTTCACCATTTTGAGATATTTCTAATTTGACAGAAATCAATCATGTATTTTTTCAGGCACTGTATCCAACTCTTTTTTTATTTCACTAGTAATCGGGATTTTTCGCGTACTAATTTCAGTTCTGTGAAATTAACTTTTTCAATTCAAGCTATTTTTATTTTTTTTCACCATTTTGAGATATTTCTAATTTGACAGAAATCAATCATGTATTTTTTCAGGCACTGTATCCAACTCTTTTTTTATTTCACTAGTAATCGGGATTTTTCGCGTAAACAACTTTTCGTGCAAATCGGTTTGAATGGAATGTTGCTATATTTCGAAACCTCAGTACTTTTAAAGTCCTACCTCCTTGTCTAGAGGTAAAATGCGTGCTTTGAAAGCCAAAATTTTGGGGATCGAAGCATGGCCAGAACTTCTTTTTCGTTTTTTCTTTTTCGATATTTCTTTGTCTGTTCGATATTTCTTTTTCTGGGAAGGGTCCAAAATTTGAATTGTAATACTATCTTTTGTCTCTGCTTATTTGTTGGTTGCCGGCTGACTTTCCAAAGCATTGTTTTTTGATCGTGTGTAGTTTTTAGCGCGTCATTCTTAACTTAGTAAAGATTTAGGTTTTTAAGTTTCAGCTTTCAAGATTTTTTCGGTTTCGTTTATAGTTATTGCGTTTTTGTTTCAAATTCACTCTTGGCTTTAATAGTTTTGGCGTATGTAAAATTAGTTTTTTTGCCTCCTTATGAACCTTTTGAAGCTCAAGAAGTTTTATCAGCTCCCCGGGAAGCTAGTTTTTAGTTTCTTAAGTCAGTTTTTTGCCTGAGGTTTTGCTGTGTAGCATGCAATGGCGTTTATCGCTGTTTAGTTTTTCATGTGTCGATGAACGAAATGTAGGCTTTGATTTTTTTTTCTGGAAAATTTCATAAAATTTGTTCTTGAGTTTTCGCTGTTTGACTTTTAGTTATTTCTTCCTATTTTTTTGAAGTCTCCACAGCCTTGGTGCAATTTCATCTGAGCGATTGAAATATTGCACCTTTAGATCTTTTCTGAGTATATGATTTCTCAATTTTGTATGTTTAATATGCAATTCGTTGTCGGGTTTTGACTCTACAGAGACGCGTGTCTCCTTCATGCGACAGAGGAAATTACTCTACTTTTCTAGCGGCCAGAATTGTCGAGGAGTCATATCTTTTATCATCCAACAGGTTCTCCTTTCTTGATGCTGCAGTCCTTTTTGTCCATTTTTGTCGTGACATCAAAGAGTCGTGACATCTAACAGTAAGACATCTAACAGTCGAGCCGTTACAAGGTTAACTTTTATTCTTTAAAAAGCCAGGTTGGTTCGTTGTAGATTAACATAAGGACTACATAAGCGCTGCATACGAATCTGCTTAAGCACTGCAGTAGTTCGCAGTTATAGCAAAAAGTCGTTTTTCAACACTTTAACTCTGGCATACAGTCCGTAAAACCAATAAAGAGTGCTGTATTTACAGTCAACGGATAATTTTTCTCTCTTTGAATCGATTCTGTGATCGTCACTTATTCATCGAAATATTTTTTCTGACTAACCAGTAAACTCAGATGTTCACATGACTGTGGGCACATAGGTTTGATAAGTTTTTTACTGCATGTTGTTTGCAACATAGTGACTCAAATTTTCGGACGATTTTTCAACTCCGATTTTTTCTCGAATAATGATTCAAATAAAGCTTTCAGAATGCACTGGTTTTCTGATCGGCGAGATTATTCATGTGCAGGGTCGTTAGTTTTTTTTAATGGACTCTCGGGAGAACTTCACTGCTGGGTGTTTGATGCGGAGTGTTGATACAGATTGAATTGGAAACTTAGATCTTCGACTGTCCAGTACTTCTTATGAAAATTCAGTTTTGCTGATTGAAGTACGCAATGATTGAAGATTGTGAAATTCGATTGTGTAGCTTTGTCAGATTTAGAGAGCCAAAGAGTCCGCTCTGAAAGCTGTCCTCTCGATTATTACACCGAGATTAAAGCAAACTATGCCATGGTGCTTTTTTGTTTATGAGCACACGAAAGAATCTAGCTCCTGGATTTTCAAGGAAAGGTCTCAGTTCCAAGTGTTGTTTTCCAACTTGGTTTTTTGTCGACTGTGTTTTCTAGTCGTTGTTTACACAAGCAAAGCTTGTGGGATAGGATCAGCTCTTTTTTTCTAACCAAGTCGCAAATATTAGTGTTTATTTTGAAAGTGTTCATTTTGATCAATAAGGCTAAGGATATTAACACAGACGTTTATATCAGAAATAGCAGTGTTACTTCAAGGTATCATTGATCTGTTGCGTAGAGGTAGGAAAAAGACCCGCAACAAAATAAGAGGGTTCGAACCTGGGCAGGATCGGATTCTTTTAATGGGTCTAGGACTAAATCCCCCCAGATATAATCCCCCAGGATAAAATCCCCCAGGATGAAATCCCCCTTAGGATTAAATACCCCTTGGACAAAATCCCCCATATTTTAACTTATCGTCCAGGGAATGTTAAAGTATATATTTAAGGTATTTTTAATTCAGTTTTCATTTAAAGCTACTTCGAGGAAAGAAGATAACTTTGGGCGTATAAAACGCATAGTATGTTCAGCGGCTAATTACAAGGAGATTGACTATTTAAAGTTATCGCTGTTAATTTATTGTTTTAATTTAGTTCTCTTTTTGATTTAGTTATGTTTATGCTTCTACTTTAATTTGAACTCTATTTATGATCAATAAATGTAATTTTATTTTCAGAGTTCCGTTTTTGCTTAACGCTAATGTGGGGAAAGTTAAAACATACTGGGGGATTAGGTCCGATGGGGGATTAAATCCTGGTGGATTTAGTCCGCGAGCGCTATTCTCTGATTTGGCTTTCAAGGGTAGTGGTTTTGCACTAAAAGATGTGATTGTGATGTCGTTTAACGGCTCCGCAAGAACACATTCTTATTTAGATTATATCGCAGTGTTTGCAAAGGATTGACACTATCTTAGACCCACTTGTTAATTCAAGCTTATACCTATTTGCAAAAATAAAGCAACTAAATTAAGCTGGACGGTTGAGCTGGATAAACAATCAAATGTATCCTTACCCTATCGAAAATGACTGAAACTTGTGTCTGATGTTTCATTCGATTTCAGATTTATTTTGAAGCATCAGAACTTCTATATCTGTGCCCTGGTTTTTGTTCGTCGAGTGAATAGTTTCGTGATATGATTTACTGTGTATCCCAAGATCTGGAAATCAAATTTCTGCTTCTTATCTTCCTAGAAGTTGTCCAGTCCAACAGCTGTTGGGCAGCTAAAGGAAAGCCGAGAAACCAACCTTCAAGAGAGTTCACACATTGACCTAAATATCTGCCAACCATTATCAAGGCCCATTTGTGATAAGAGCGTCCCTTATAATTGGTAACTATCCATTTTTTCTTTGCATTGAGCTTTGATGATTAATGTTTTTAACAACACGTTTCAACTGCAGTGAATTTTTGGGTTCATAAGTTGTTTAATGTGTAAGGTGAATAAGTTTATATCAAAAAAGTTTGTTTTCAAATGAATTGTATACAAATGTTTATCAAAAAAAGTTTGTTTTCAAATGAATTTTATGCAAATGTTATATTCTAGAACTCCATTAGATGATGATCGTAGCGTGTTCAGGCAACGCTATCGGCATAATCATCGAGTAACTTTTTTCTCATTTGTTTTGCGATATTCGAAAGCCTATTCTGCTGGTTTGCTTGTAGCTTAGCCTAAAAGTAAGGTTTATCAAAAAAAAATCCGTCAGAGTAATTCTAAAGCATTCTTTTCGCTGTAGTTGAGGGAGAAATGTGAAAAAAGTTAACTGTTTGCCGATTTGATTGTGTTTTTTTTATGAAAGAGTCTCTCTGTGTGCATCGCAGGCTGTGAGAGACTTCGCTTTGCTTCTGGGCCAGCATGCCGCGTGGTGCCGGTGGTAAACGAAGGCGTCTGCATGGTCAGCTTCATCAACATGGGTGGAATCTTCAGCTTGAAGTGCCCAAACTTGAAGGAAGAATGTATTCAAGTAAGAACGCATGTTATTTGTTTGTTTGTCTGTCCACGTTCGTCTCCACAGTCGCGTGTTCTCCTCAGTCTCCAGGCATGTTACTCCTGTGAACAATGGTGTTTAAACTAAACATGGTTTTAGAAATTGGCTATTTTTGTAATCAATTGGAATACATAGATATACATAGGTATCAGTGATTGGAAAGATTAGCCCAGCTAAGCTTCGCCTCTGTGTTTAAAGTTGCAATGGTCACTGTTTTGTTGTTTTGTGCTTTTTGATCAGCCTTAATTTCTTCTTACACCACACGCACCTTGAATTATTGCAGGTCTGACGGAAGTGACTGACTCTAGAGCGCAAGATGTTGTGTTCAACTCAGTGCCAGTGTCACCGACACGAATAGAAAATGAAGATGTGTTCGACAACGAATTTCGGATGAGAATTGAGGCCCGCCTGGATTTAGGTTTACAAACCTTATTGTTTTTCTCTATTTTATCATAATCATGAAATTCTTCGTTTTGTTTTAAGGTCGGAATGGATCGAGAGGGGATGAAACTGCTATCAATTCTCCGCGCAACCTCACCCGAACAAACAGTCGAGAAGGTGAGAAGAAATGCAATCGAATTTATTTTTAAAAAGAGCTAATCTGTACTTTAATAAGATAAGGTATTATTTTCAAGATTTTTCGCCTTGGTTAACGGCAGCTTCGAGGCAACCTCATCCTTTCTTCGCTGGAAGATCAAGCGAAGTTAATCAGCCGAGTGTCTTCTGGCTTGATCTGAACGAAGCCCAAGGGAGCATGGATGCTACTGTTTTGACTGAAAACGTCACGAACACTGAGCATTTGCCGCAAATTGTTACAGATAGTCAAGTTCATCGACCAATCAAAACTGAAGTGCTCCACCAAAGAAGAATGGATGGTGAGGCTGAGCAAGTTATAACTGAAGCGGTTCCACATTCCCCTGAAACAATTGATTTGGGCAAATGGTAAAAAATGGATCCATTTTTTACCATTTGCCCAAATCAAAAGATAGACTTGTTTTATTGAATTAATTGATATACTGATACCGTGTATAAAATATTATAGGTTGTTTGATTATTTGAATTCATTTAAAATTGTTTATTTATTTTTTCGCAAAGGGTTTCAAAGAAAAATTCAAATTAGGCTGATCAACTAAAAAAAAAAGCTCGTTTCAGATATATTATTTCTGTTGTTGACACTTGCCCGAGGAATTGGCTTGAAATAGGGTCTAGACTTTTTCCATTAAGCCACTTAGCAAATTTGTGTGAAATTAACTTTGCTGTACTATGAAACATTATCTTCTTCCAGGCAGCTGGCCGCTTAGTGTATTGGTTAAGCGCCTGATTGAGTGTAAGTGTTCGTTAAGCGGAAGAAAATAGGACTCCAATACCATGGACTCGGTATCGAACACTTCATTGGACATATGATTACAAGGGTAACACAGATAAATGGAAAGAAGGATGCTGTCTTGCTGGGCTTAAAAAATGGGTTGAAAAGAGGTGTAGAGTGTGAAAATGGGTGCAGAGGGTGGAAATGGGAAAATGAGTAAGTGAAAAATTTTCAAGTTGCGGTCTTGGATTTTTAACCAAAAGCCAGTAATCTCAGATGTTCAGATGACTGTGGGCCATTAGGTTTGCTCAGATAATGTTTTTTTTACTGCATGCTGTTTGAAACATTAGGACTGAAATTTCTCGGAGATTTTTTTCGCACCAATTTTTTGTCTCAGATGCCGATTCCAATAAAGCTTTCAGAATGCAATGGTTTTTTTGATAGGCGAGATTCTTGTGCAAAGTCGTATAGAGTTTTTTTTGGACTCGGGAGAGCTTTTTTGCTGGACTTTTGATGCGGGATATTGCTACAGATTGTGGTGAAAACTTAGATCTTTGATTGTCCAGTACTGTTAATGAAAAATGAGGTTTGCTGATTGAAGTACGCAAAGATTGATTGAAGATAGTGAACTTATTTGTTTAGCTTTGTCAGACTTAAAGAACAAAAGAGTCCGCTTTGAGTGCTCTCCTCCTGATTAATTAATTGAGATTAACTAAAGTTATGCTATAGTGCTTTTTTTGTTTATAGGCGGCGAGCAGACGACAGAATCTAGCTCTGAGATTTTTAAGGAAAGGTCTTGGTTCCAAGTATTATTTTCCAACTTGGTTTTTTGTCTACTCTGTCGTCTAGTTATTGTTTTTACACAAGCGAACTTAAGTGATGGTGAGTGTAATAGTACGACTAATCTTTTTCTAAGATAAGTCGCAAACTTGATCCACTTCTAATTTCGAACTGGATTTTATTTTAAGATTTCCCAGAGGAACAAAAACTGTAGCTATTAATGAAAGAAAAACAATCAGAAATTACATAGGGACTATTGTTTGTCTTATAATGCACGAGGTGTATTGGTTGTCATATAATACATGATGACCATCACGATTTATACCTAATGCTCATCCATGGATGACAACCCCCATCATAGTGTACTATATGCATACTAATTACGCTGCGCCAAAAACCATCTTATAAAAACATAACTCGTTGTCAGTCTTGAAACCATTACTTGTGTCGTCTCTAGCGTGGCCGTTACCTCCACAAGTGAGTAAAGGGTTGAACTAGTTTGTTAAACAAGTTAAAGCGAAAACAAGCTAATTTGCGAATTGCCTTCTTTTTTGGAAACGTAATGATTACAGCAGGTCGCGCAACCTTTTAAACAAAAGTTGCGACCAAGATTAATAATTATTCTCATTCAATACCAACAAAAAATAATAGAAAATTTTTTAAGGAAAATAAGCCGACAGAAACAAAACCAATAAAAACTTTCAGCACAGATAAAAAATGCTTTGCAACTCTTAAAAGTTTATACAAGGTACATATGCACTTCATACACTCCAACCATGCTATTAAACAGCGGTTATAAAATTTATCATTTGACCATTCTGTGAACCAAGTTATTTACGGTTACAAAAGTGTAGTACTCGGTTGCAATACCCTTGCTCATCGCAAGGAGTGTAATATTACATCTGTAAAGAATCTCGTGGACTGCCCTCAGATCGTTTGTTCTTCGTTTTTTTTTCCTATGTAAATCAATTGTGAAAGGCATTTTTTGACGAATTTCGTTTATTTATTGTTTAACATTTTCAAGTTCTTTTCTGAATCATGTTTGATCTGAAGACTACAAATGTAGATAGTACGAATCTTGGGTAGATCAATGAAAATAAATTTAAAAAAATAAAATGGTCGTTGCTGCACAAAGCAAGAACTTCCAAGGAAACGGAAAATAAAATAACCAATAGAAAAGTGTGCAAGAGTTTGCTACACAATTCAGCAAGGATGTTGCAACAAATTTGAATCAAAAATGAAAAAGAAAAGAGTTATACCAAAAAGTCCAATCAACAGACAATTGGAAAAGTGTTTTCTGTTTTAAGGTTTTCTTTTCATTGTCTGCCAAAAATTTGGAATTTTTACGTTTGTAATTTTCTGGTCAACCCGACGATCCCGCTGTTCAAAATTAGCTCATATAGGAGAAAAATCTTTTTAATCATAAATTCACTTGGTGTTCAAAATAATTCGAGGGCCACAAAAAATATATAAACGTTAATTTAGCTGATTAAAAGCCTAATAAACATCTAAAGATCAGCGCAATTTATTATTGTCAACAAAGTTGCAAAAAACTTTGCTACAGCGTAACAGATGTTTCATTATGAAACCCCGTGTTTCCAGGATATTTTGAAAAATTGGTTAATTTATATCAAATGCCCTTTTGAAAATTAACTTTTTCGACTCATCCAGGGAACACAGGATCTCTCAATAATCAATCTGTTTAGAGGTTCAAACTAAAATTCCAACACAGAGGCAGGCAACGCTACAGCCTCTGTGGCAAAATACCAGCCAGAAAGAAACACAAGAAAGGCAGCCACACGAAGGCATCCATGCAATAAATTGTAAAATGTTAAGCCACATTTTGTAGGAAATATGCTTTTCAAGAACTTCGCCCAAAATAATTAGTTGGAATAATTACGAAGAGGTTTTAAAATTGACTGTTGTATTTTAAACCAATAGCTTTTTTCGCTTCAATTGATGAACTAAAAAAGCATAACCTCCTTTAACTCATTGCAAATCAAATTTCAAAACACATGGAATTACTGTGCCACTTTAGCCTCCTGATTCAAAAGAGCTACCTAATGTATCACTTATGAGGCACTAAAATGCTACTAAAAGTAGAAATTTTGTGCCACCAGAAGTATCACTTCTATTTGCGACTCAGGTTCAAAACATAACTATCACACTATGCTCCGGTGTGTAAATAATATGTCAATATTAAATTGAGCAGGTTTAAAAGATTTTTTTCCATCTTACCGAGCTCCCGGCTATAAGGCAAGCTAGTGAAACGGATCAAAATCAATATTTTCCCAATATTGAAAAAAAAACCGGTTGGAAATTTTTGCTTTTTAGTTTCATTTCGAGCGAATGAAGTGAGCGCGCAGTTTTATAAACGGAGGTGAAGCTGCAACTTCGCAAACGCGAGCGAGAAAGCGGCAAAAAACTCGTCACAAAAGCTTTAAAATGCACAAAAACTCTAAATTTGCATGTATTAGTTTGGAGTTTCATTAAATGAAAGCCACCACATTAAATTTGCCCATAATGCATAAGAACTTAACATCAAATTCGTATGAATAATGCATTTCAATAATCTCGCGCAATATATGGAGTTGGCGAAATTCTGAAAAAAAAATAATTTCAATAATTATAAAACATAAAAAATTAAAATCATTAAATTTTTTTATAAACCATGAAAACTTTTCCGCTCAATTAAAAAACATATATATATTTTTTTTAAATTAAATTTTGCTTTTCTGTTCTTTTTTAGAGGAAAATTATTTCGATATTGCCTGATTTACTTTTATTATCAAACATTCCTATATCTTAGCTTTCGTTCAATCCTTTGATCACCATGATATAGAATCTATATAAGAATTTTTTTTAGTTTCTGTTTTCAAGTTAGCTGGTTGCTGTGCACATTACGTGTGAACCAGCTATCTTTGTATAAACTAGGTTTTGGTGATATATATTTGCTTCCAATAACGCATTATTGATACCATTTACTTCACAAGAAAAATTTGGACTGCTTTTTGAGTGGGATTAGTTCGCCGTTGAGTTGGAGTACAACTTGATGAGTGATTCGCCGTATATATCAATAACGTTATGTAAATCCCGGCGAATAACATATAGAGCTAATTAATGCGAGCTCTATTTCCAGTAGTCAAACCCCCTGCACTAATTGCGCAAAATGATTACTGGTGGAAAATATTTATAAGAAGATAAGGCAGCGCAATTTTAGAAATCCGGCAAAAACTCATTTAAGAAAGTTGACATTGGTCTTGCAAAAAAAGCACTAAATATAAATTAAATCACTTTTTTTTCTACAAAAACATTTACAAGATTGCTTTTAATCTCAAAAAAAGCTGCACTTAGCATGCAAATGTCCTGTTCCATTTTCCAGCGAGGCAAGAAGCTTAGATCGACAAACCCAGTTTGATAAAGCAGGTTTAACCCAATTGTCATTGCAAAAAGGAAGAAAGAAGCGCGGCAGAAAATATAACAGGATACACCAAATTTGACCCATTTATTTTAACCTTTGCATGGCTTTATTATGCAGATGAAACGATCCTGGTGAAACTCCTAGGCAAAACTATACGGATGAAAAAAGGTGTTGATAAGTAGGTGTCCTGTCATTGTTAATTACAATTTAAAATTCATTGAAATGCAGCTTAAACATTCAAGCGCAATACACATTTATCCATTTTTAATGGTTCTAATGAGTCAATCAAGTCTGTTGCAGTTGGGTTTACATTCGAGATGACGGTTTATGATAGCGTTTGAGGAATTCTTTGAACCTTTTGAACCTCCTTCGCCCATCGAGGTACAACATATACTCTGCGTAGCTTCTTGGTTTCACCTCGGGAACCTTCAATGGAGACCGATTCTGGTCCACTGCTCCGAACACGAAGTAGAACTCGTTGCTTGTTTCTTGGAACCCAGTGGTTGGGTTTTTGACCTCAGCGTGACATCTTAGCATCATCAAATTATCTTCTGTGTAGCAGACCTAAA